GCATATTGCAAAGGCGGACAATTTTCAAAGTCGACTTGCAAATTTCATTCCCTATGATAGCTGCTGAAGTTGAACCTTTCATTCCACTTCAAATTATTTGTTTCATTTCAAGATTAAATTTTTTTTAAAATATTAAATAACTTGACGGTGATGTTAGTGAATTTGTTTCTAAAATTATCTTCAAAAATTCAAAATTTTAAACTTAAATTTAGTGCCAAATATTGATAATGTGGAAATAGAATTGAAAAAGCTGATTAAAAGTAAATTGAGTTTAATTAAAATAATAAATTTTTTAAAGACATTTTAAAATAAAAAAGTAAATCGGGAGGAGTAAAAAAAAAATAAAACGAATAAAGAGGAAACTACAAGATGATGAGTTAGACGATAATTAAGCCAGTAAGAACAGTGACGAGTTAGACCTCTTTATCTCCACCCACTGTGTTAGCTAGCAAGTCAGGTTGGCCATATGGCTGCAGATGCGAACAATTTGTCGGCAAAGAAGGATTGGCACGAATGCGGCAACTTCAGGAATCAGCGGAAAGCGGCTAAAGAAAAGTTGCTGGGTGACGTCTTTGAGTGTAGCTTTGCAGAGTGAAGCCGGGGGCAAATGCCAAAAGTGGAATATTTTGGAAGTGCAAAAAGTTGTGATGGAAAAATTTTCATTCCCGCAATTTCTAGCCTCCACAGATTTGCTGCCTTAGTTGCAAAGATTGAACACATACCTTCCTTGTCTCATCGCATGAAAGATCGCCGCCGTCACCTTGCAAACACTTTCATCCTAATTCCAATTCCAAGCAAGAAAAAATGGCTCATACTGCTGCTACTGCTACTATCCAGGTTACATTGAAGACGGTTGTTTCCCTTGCCGCTGATCATGGTAATCTGGTTCGTGAATTCCCAAAGGAGCTGGAGAGACTCAACGAATCTGCTGAAATGATCCGAGGCTTCTTGGCCGGTGCTGACGGGAAAATGCATAGCCCAGGGGTGCAAATTTGGCTCAAGCGGCTGGAAGAAGAGGTTTTCAAAGCTGACAATGTGCTGGACGAGCTCAACTATGAAAATCTTCGTCGGAAGGTGAAGTATCAAAATCAACTCACGAAAAAGAAGGTATTCTTCTGCTTTTCATTCTTTAATAAAATTGGTTTTCGTTGGAGGTTGGGTTCAATGATCAGGGAGATCAACACAAACCTTCAAAGGATCCATCGGGATGCAGAAGGTTTGGGACTGGCCTACAAGCACCAAGTTGAAGAAGCATTCCCTACTGTTGCTGCTGGAGCCACAACAAGCCGACAGACCGACTCTACAATTGTTCGAAGAGATGTCCTAGGAAGAGACGAGGATGAATCAGAAATAGTTAAGAAGTTGTTGACCGAATCTGAAAGTGTTATTTCAGTTATTCCCATAACTGGCATGGGTGGTTTAGGAAAAACAACTCTAGCTAAAGCCGTTTACAAAAATGAGCAAATTGTTGGACATTTTGACCAAACAATGTGGGTTTGTGTGGCTGAAAAAGTAGATAGAATCGAGGTGGTCTTCAAAATGATTCTAGAATCGTTGATAGGAGGAAAGGTTGAAGGGGATCGTAGGGAGGAAATAGTTAAAAAAATTCAGCATGAACTCAAGGAAAAAAGATATTTCCTTGTTCTTGATGATGTGTGGAATGATCAAGAAGTATTGTTGAATGACTTTTTCAGCACTTTGGCGGGACTCAATGAGAAGAAAGGGAGCTGGTGCCTTGTTACCACTCGTCTGCAAGAAGTGGCAACTATTCTGTCTAGACATCCGCAGATCAATTTTACTCGCCATGAGCTGGGAAGGCTATGCGATGATGATTGCTGGTGTATCATGAAAAAATGGGCAACTGTAGGGGAAGAAGTACCAAAAGAATTGGAAGACATGAGGGAGCCAGTTTTAAGAAGATGTGACGGTCTACCTCTGGCAGCAAAGTTAATTGGAGGTCTGTTATCTAAAAAGAGAAAAGAGGATTGGCTATCTATTTTGGAGGAGAGCCTCTTGAATGGAGATCAGGGTGGGATCGAGCAAATACTTAAGGTGAGTTTTGATCATCTGTCACCTGCACCGGTTAAGAAATGTTTTGCATATTGCTCAATCTTTGATCAAGATACTGAATTGGAACAGGATCCACTAGTTGAGCTTTGGATGGCTGAAGGCTTTCTTCAACCGGATTCCCAAAATGAAAGAATGATGGAGAAAATAGGATGTGAGTATTTGAGAATTTTGCTGCAAACTTCCTTATTGGAAGAAGTAAAAGAGGAGTGGAGAACATGGTATAAAATGCATGACCTTGTGCATGATTTTGCAAAATCAATTTTGAATCGTAACAGCAGCAATCAGGACCGCTACCTTGCAGTATACTCATCCGAAAGAATGGTAGAAAACATGAACAAAAAATCATCAGCATCACTTCGCACATTATTTCTAAAGGGTGGCATAGCTGATGATATGTTATCAAAGTTCAAATACTTGCACGTCCTAAAATTGTTTGGAGCAGATGCCAAAAAGCTGCCGAAATCCATTGGCAAACTAATACATTTACACTTACTTGACATTTCAGGTTCTTGGATTAGAACCTTGCCAGAATCTCTTTGCAAACTTTATAGTTTGCAAACACTGAGAATTGGCATGCTTGTAGACGGTTTTCCAAAGAAGATGAGCAATCTGATTAGCATGAGACATCTTCACTATGATGATGATGATGATGATGATACAGGACGCGAAATCCAAATGCCATCCGGGATTGGACGATGGACTTGTCTTCAAACGTTAGAGTTCTTTAACATAGGTCGTCAAGAGGAAGGTCGTGGTATCCAAGAACTTGGAACCTTGCAAGATCTTAAAGGCTCCTTGGAGATCAGAAATCTTGAATTAGTAAATGGCAAAGATGATGCTGAACTAGCGAACCTATCTAAAAAGCCAAATATGTATCGGTTGGTATTTGAGTGGGGCAATAGGGATCAGGAAAGTAATAAATGCGATGAAAATGTGTTGGAAGGCCTCCAACCTCACCCAAATTTAAAAGAGTTGCATATCCGGAATTTTAGGGGTGATCAGATTCCACAATGGCTTGTGAAATCATCAACATTAGTGGAATTGCGCTTAGTAAATTGCAGAGAACTCCCCACCCTGGGACAGCTGTCATCCCTCCTACATCTATATTTGTGTGGATTGGAAAACACAACATGCATTGGGCTTTCATTCTACAGTATAAGTGCTGAGGAGGACGGCGGTTCAAAAGGTTCAGGCACAATTAGCAGACAAACATTCTTTCCGGCCCTTAAAATTCTCTCTCTTGAAAGCATGGAAAATTTGAAAGAGTGGAAGGACGCACACGAAATGAGGTCAACCGCAGGTGAAGTACATGTGATGGATGCGTTTCCCATGCTTGAAAAGTTGTCTATTAGTGATTGCCCCCAACTGACCACCATTCCAAACCCAAGTCGTTTCCCAAGTCTTGATGTATTGGAAATCAAAGAGAATTGCCATGTTTTGCTGGCAGAACAGGTTTGGAGCACTATAGCCAATCTCTCGTCCCTTGACTTAAGTGGTGGTCAACGCATCAAGTTGTTAAAATTAGTGAAACGACCAGAGAGCAGCTTGAGTATTGATGGCTGTAACAGTCTACCCACTAACATGCTTGAGCGACTCTGTCTTTTTCCAACTCTTCAGCGTGTAGAATTGAGGTCTGCCGATAATATAACAACATTAAGAGGAATGAGTTGCGCCGCTTGTCTTAAGAGATTGATAGTCTTTTCTTGTAAGAATTTACGGGAGTTGCCAGAAGATCTTTATCAATTTCAAGCTTTAGAGGACTTGGAGATAGCAGGTTGCCCGAGAATTAATTCATTTGGACATCCAAATCCTAAAAATTCATTTGGACAGAAAGGCCTCCTTAAGTCTCTTGAGCGATTTACTGTCCATGGGTGCAATGAATTAACAAGATTACCAGTGGAGATGTTCGAGTCGTGTACGTCTCTCCGAGAGCTGAATTTGTTCGATTGCCGCAGTCTGGTCTCCTTTCCCCTTGATTTGCGACGAACCCCTTCTCTCGACAGTCTGATCTCCAACTTGATTGCTGAGATGCCTAGTGGAATTGGCTATCTTACCAGCTTAAGGAAAGTGACGATTGGTCCCTTCTCAGATGACTCTGCAATCGAATTTGATTGGGCTGGATTAGCATCTTCATCATCACTCCAACACGTGTCTTTGCATGGAATGTATGGCACGAAATCTCTGCCACATCAGCTTCAAGACTTGACTACCATCACATCACTATCTCTAAAACACTTCGGAGCAATCGAAGCCTTACCAGATTGGCTTGGGAACCTTGCGTCTCTTGAAAACCTAATCCTATATGATTGCCAAGAGCTTGAATATTTACCCTCCATGGCTGCCATGGAACGCCTCAAATTAAGACGTCTGGAAATTCGTATTTGTCCTCTATTAACCGAAAGATGCACTCCTAAAAGCGGCTCTGAGTGGCCCAAGATCTCTAATATTCCGGAGCGCAAAATTGATTTTCGGTATTTCTGAGCCATTCGGTAAGATCTCATCTCAAAATTTTAATTATTGGATCATCTTATTCTACCTGTACTTGTCCCTCACTCTCTTTCTCTGTAAATATCTATTCCTCTAGTTCTTCTGGCGAAGATTACTCTCTCTTTCAATTTTCATGTCATTAACAAAGTAGAGTTACGAGCAAATTGAAAGATAACAAAAATTGTGGATTTCACTACTAAAAGGATGAATAAGCATGGTAAAATTCACTACTAAATGTGAACTTGGTACTGACTGTTTGCCCACGAAATTTACTAACATTGCAAGCGTAAACATTCAGCTTCAATGGGGTATGTTCTTATTCTTATTTTTTTGTCACTGATATTTCCAAACAACATTACAATTTTGTTTTTACTTTTTACCGCTGGTATTTAATAGATGGATGTGTTCTTAATATTCACTGTTATCTCTCTGTAAGGCTCTGCATTATGATTGCCATAAAATTAGCTCAATGTCGATCAAGTTGAAATTGTTTGCAGAGGAACTAGGCTGCTGCTAAAACTATAAATTCTTATCATCTTTTAAAATTTTTAAAATTCAGATACTATAACTAGCTACTTTTCTATTTTGTGAATTGGATTTTCTTATCATCAGGCTGTGGTTTCCAATCATTTTTGAAGAAAGATGAGGAGGTATGTGGTTTGGAAATTTCTCCACCCAACTTACTAGAAGTACAAGGGAATTGGTCCAAGTTTGCAAGTATGTTTGAGACATGGAATTGTGCCTAGATGCAGGTTGGCATCTGCGCTAGTAAGTGTTCTTTATGGCTTAATCAATGGAATATAACTTGATTTTTGCCCTTTAGGATTTTGAGTGATAAATTGTTGCACGAGTTACCAGACCACACCTTTCTATGGCTCATATTTCTACTTAATGTCATAACTGAAGCAGAACTGTGATGTAATATTGTTATCTTTTTTTCCAGAATTTGTTTAGGAAGCAGAGTACATGTTTTTTGGACAAAGAACACCCACGTTCCCGTGTTGTTCTTATGAGAATGTCAGGAGGGAGGAGTTATTTTCACTTATCAGTCAGTTTTTGAAGATGGAAGGTAGTTATCTGTGATTTTTCCCACCAGAATGCCATATATTGCTCAGAATGTGGAAATGAAGGTAAAAAATGTTGACTGCATGTCTATTGGCCTGTTTCAATGGCTTTTCTTTTTTTTTTTTAATCTATTTTCTGGAAGTATTTAACAAAATAAATCAAATATTGAACCTTTTCTCATTGTAGCATGCTGAAAACAGAGTGGCTTGTGCCAGGCTTGTAGAAAGTAGTATGGATGGAGAAGAATTAGAGAGAAGCATAGTAGCTGGTACTGGAAAGCTATCAAGGTACAACACTTACTTGAAAAAAACTGGACGTTTATGGAAAGAAGTTAGACATTGTAGACAGCATTGGCAATCATTTGGACGACATAAATGAAGCATGTGATTGCAGTGTCAGTCGTTCATTTGGATGAAAATAGTTCAAAGTTTTGGTGTTGCAATTGCAGCGGGAAGAATTTCTACATCCTCGTTCAAAGGTTCCCACCAGATCTTGCAAGGCCTTTGTAAATTGGAAAACAGTTTATACCTTTCCACTCAAGAACAAGAGAGACTCATGATACAACTGTGCTAACAGTTAGTCATTCCAGGTACCAGGCTCAGTGTTGAATTTGTTTTAGCAAAATAAGTACCTTCTTGGTTCTTGACTAACTTAATTATTTTGACATGTCTACTTCAAGTTAAATAGTCACAATTCAAAAAATTGCAGTTTGAATGATCAATAAACAGGTTTTGTTATTGTAGCATTCTATCTGTTATGTTTTAGCTAAGAAAGACTAGAAAACCTAAAAATAATTTATAATTATTAAGAAACCACTTGGAATATGTAACATTTCAGAAGACTAATGAAGGTGGGAGATCAATGATAAATGTTTCACATGAAGTTCTCCAACATGGTTTCACCTAATTAGAGGTACTATACCACAAAGTATCTGCTTGTCAGGTTAAATGAGCATGTTTCAGCATGTCCATTTAATGGAAGAATTCAAGGAAGAAGGAAACAACTTGCCAACACTGAAAAGATATTGACGTCCATTACCTATTTCTTTCTACAAACGGTTATCCTTTTCTGATTTTTGTTTGGCCCAAAGATTTTAGTCTGTCCGGAGAAATCAGTCTGCTAAAATAAGTTAATAAGAGAATTTATGAATGCTAGTACATGAATATAAATTTTGTATTTTTTCTTCAGATTAGTTTGCCAAACTCTAGTTTAGAACATCATTTTAGAAAGAGACGAAAGATTATCATCTTACTCTTCCTTTAACATTTGGTTAAACATTTAGCTTTGATAATCACTTTATTTTCAGAATGAATCACAAGGACAATTTATGCAAATTCGATTGACTTTTGCTACCATTACTTCCTTCTGGGTTTGTTAATGCTCTGTCTTTTAGTCTTTCATTTTTGGTTATCTAGTAGATTGGTGATTTTTCCATCCTACTTGCATAAGGACTTGCTCATGATAAAATATTTATAGAAATATCTATTTTAGCATTTTAGACAAATGTTTCATGGGCTATGTTGGAACATGCAGAAAGCAGTGGTTTCCAAGCAAAAAATGTATGGATGTTGATGTGGTAGACAATTGTTCTCTTAAGGAGTGAAGATCAATCTTCTAGAAAGCAATATGTGACAGAGTAAATGAAGAGGTATGTAGTCTCAGTGGATTAAATTTGAAGGCCTACAATGTTTCTGTTGCTGTTGCCTTAACTTCAAATCAATCACATACAAAAGCTATGCTGTGAATTTAGTATGCGTTTTTCATGGCTTAATCGATGTAATTCTGCTTAATTTTTGCTCTTTAGAAATTTTTGTAATACATTCTTCATAAGTTTTGATGGTTCAACGTGGCTAACATGGTGGTGTTTTTTTCCTGAATCTATTTAGGAAGCAGGCATCATCTCGTTGGAAAAAGAACAACATGGTTCCCTGTCATTTTTGTGAGAATGTCAAAAGGAAGAAATTACTGTCACTCAGCAGGCAAGTTTCGCAGATGAAGATGGTCATCAATTATAGTTATTTTGCTCATTAATTTGCACTAGCATTGATGGAGGCTTCTCAAACATCATGTAGAAAAACTGAAAGTGTTATGTTCTGTAGTGCTCGGAATGCAGAAATGAAGGTAATGATTTGGCTAAACTTTTTGTTAGCTTGTTTCGATTTTTTTTCTCTATCTATGTTCTGGAAATGTAATTTGGTTCAGAAGAAGAGAAGATTTGATGATGGAAGCTAGATGTTGAAGATGGCAGTAATAGTCATTCGGAAAGCAAAAGCAAAGCATGTAGTGGGATGGAAGAAATTCAAAGATTTTGTGCTGCAAGAATATGTATTCACATGCAAGGGTTTCTAAGCCCTCGTTCAAAGGTTCAAGGAAGCACTGCTGCTAGATCATGCAATGCCTTTCTCAATTGGACAATGGACTATAACTTTCCACCCAAAAATAAGAGAGATTCATGATGCACTTGTGCGAACAGTTGATTATTCATGTATTCACATGCTAGGTGTTGAATTTGTCAAGGTAAACTAACATATATTTACCATAATACCTTGTTGGGTTTTAACTTATTTTTTTATTTGAATAGTAGAAAATTAGAAATTTTTAACTTAAATAAGCAATAAATAGGTGCTTTTCAAGTAGCATTTTTTTTTTGTGCTTTAGCTAAGAAAGATAAGTAGACCTAAGAATTTTTACCAAGAAACTCTTTTAAAATATCTGACATCCGTGAAAACCAATGAAGTTTTTCAAGGTACTTCATTCCACTTGATAGAGATATTGTGCCACAAGTCTATTCTGCAAAGGTTAGATGAGCATTTTTTCAGCGTAGCCATTGAAATGAAGTTGACAATCAACTCTAACAAATTCAAGGAAGAAGGAAACTACTTGCCAACATTTATAGAATTGCGGCATTCTTTTGCTGCTTCTTTCTAAAAAAGGTTGTCTTTTACTAGTCCATTTTTGTCCTGAATATCTTAGTGTACTAGGAGAAATCAGTCCGCTCAAAAGAAAGCCCTTAGAGGCTAAATCCGTTGATTATTTGTTTTGAATTATAACACATGAATATCAATCATCACTTTTTTCCTTGGGTTATTATGCCAAACTAGCTAAGATTAGAACCTCACTTTGTAAGCCTAGGAAGGATTATCTTCTCACTGTTCTTCCGAGTTTTACATAGACATACAGCTTTCATTCTCATGTTCTATTAACATTGACAATATGCAAATTTTATTGCCCTCGCTAATTTTTGAATTCCATTTTTGGTTCATCTAGTAATTATTTGGAATGATCATCTTTCCATTACTAGTTGTTAACAGTGTTCTTTGTTCATTGTCAACTCTATATCCAATATCTGTATCAATATTGAAGACAATCAGTGTCTAATAGGCTTTGTTGGAACATGTAGGAAGCAGCAGCTTTCGAGCTAAAGTGTATGAATGCAGTCTCGATGGATTAAAGGTTTACTTTGTTTCTCTCGAAGTTGGCATGTCTTTCACACACATATGGAAGTGCCCGATCTTTCATGTATTTTGCAGGTTTCTTCTGATCTGATTTGCTTGAGACAAAGGAAAGCATATGAAGGAACCATTTAGCTGGCATGGCTGAGACCTGTAGCCAATTTGGTTGATCTTGGT